GCTAGCATGCGATATTGTAATTCCCGCGGTATAATAAATAATTAAACTCATTTTTTCAAACAATGGATAAATTGTAACACCTACAGGATATACAGACACTACAAGAAGACTGAGTAAGCCAAACTGTTGTACCAAGTTAACATTCATGATCGATGTCTTACTGAATTGCCAAATGTCATACAACTGCACCATTTATATCCTTAACTCATCCTTCAAGGTAGGGCTGTTAGTATTGTATAATTGTTTTCATTAATTTTATTAATTACGTTTTATTGCACTAATTTCCTTGTTAATCGTTTCTATTCTTACAATGCCCCAGGGTCTATTTGGGTATGGTTGAATAATTCCAGTCACGACTTGCAAAGATGATTGCAGCTAATGAATGAATTCGTGGAAAATCGTGATCTCCAGCAAGTTTGTCTCATTATCGACAGTCCCGCAATATTTATCACTTTATGTATAAGTGCCGGGAAGGTGTTCATTTCAGTCGTTCATTTTGCATTTGATTTTGCCGTGTGTAAGACACAAGATGGCTGTTTGGTGTCGCTAACAAAAAATGTTTTTCCGTGAGAAATAGGAACAACTAAAACTTAAAAGATAGAATTAATTGTAGCTTTTAGATAACCAAACCGATTTTATGCTGTCAGATGATCCATTCTAATCATATTAAATAACGGTATGTCACGTTACTCGGTACATGTGCTCGGCAGAATTTTTGTTTTCAAGATGGCGTCACCCACTATTGTCGCCGTTATGCTGAGAATATCCGATTGTATCGACCCTCGTATCTGCACATTTCGGTTTAAACTATCACATAGTTAGTACTGTTTGGGAGTTAGATATCTCAAAAAATGACAGCTATTATTTCTATTGCTGTTTTTTTTTTTCATTCATTTTTTCCAGTTAAATGTCTCGTTTGCGGCCAGGTGTCAACTTGAAGCCATACACGACGACGGTGGGGTGACGATGCAGACTGTGTTTTGTTCACATCTTATATTTATTACTCGTAGATGACCAAATCATTTAAAAGGAAGGTCCTTGCATCAACTTTAAATACTAAACCCGAATCATTCAGCTGACAATTTGAAATAATTTGACTTTGATCAATAAATCGTGAACAATTATTGACTAATATACGATTGAAAATAGTTTTTCTTGTTTCCTAATCTCCGGTGTAATTTATAAACGGAAATTACGATAATAATTTAAGTAAGACTGATCAACATAAAAATTGTGCACCGGCTGCACATTCAAAAACACTGTGACTAAATTCGGTGAACCTTTTGTAGTGTATATTTAAATATGCATAGCGTTCTCGGCTAGTCAACCACTTCACATTACTGTGTGAGATATCAGTCCGCAGT